AGCAAGGTTTTTCAAAGATGTTGAACAGATTTTGAAGAAGGTGGGTTTTTTCACATTCAAAGGGCTTGTTTCTAGGTGAGAGGAGCCAGTTACCTTTTATGAATTCCATAGGTGTCACAAAAATAAAACAGTGGTGTTAATTAATTTTTAACAATTAGTTGGGATTATCCTAAAAGCAAATCCCAGTAACATTTTTAAAGCCTTGAAACAGAACAAAATATCTGCAGCCATTAAGAAAACTGTAGAATAAAGAACAGGGGTCTATAAATGCAAGCTGTATTAGGACAACCAGGGATTACTTTCACCAGTGGAAACTGTGGGTATAGAGCATACCGCAAGATAGGTAACTTGAATTAATCTCGCTAAAACCTTTGAGAAACATTCAAAAATAATCGTCGAGATGTTCAGTAGTTCAAGACCTGACCCAAAAAAGAGGACTTCTGAAATGTATTGACCTCAAAGGTTGTTATCCTGGGTTTTTACTGGCATGATAGAAAATTTATAAGGGAAGAGTTAATCTGTTTTAAGTCAATATAAAAGAAAGCCTTCAATTATTATTAACTAATGAAGCTGGAAGAAAAAATAACAAAACTCAAAATCAGAAAATCCACCACTACTGACTACTGTTGTAAGATTTTTCTATTGCATATCAAATGAACAATACATGTGAATTCTGAATTTTTGATTTAGATATCTTCAGACGTATTACGTATCCCTATGAGTTACATATATCCATCCATAGAGAGAAAGTACTAACAGGTGCAAATGACAGAGAATAGGTGGAAATCCCTGAATATACTACTTTTTACATAGATGTTCATTATTCCAAAATGCATACTTAAAAATCTTTGATCTCTCAATGTTCAACTATGGTCTTCAAGGAGGAAACAAGAATGGGAAGCAGTTTATAAAAAGCTTGTGCTAGAATTGTGAACTGAGCTTGGCTGAAAAATGATACTGTATACATTGCTCAGAATCAAGGTCAAAAGTGAATTAGGAATCCAGGCCCTGAGTAATGAGGGCTTAGCACTCAGCAGAAATGACATGCCCAGTTTCCAGCTCAGAAGTGCCAGCTGACCTGCCAACCCAGCATTCCAGATCTGAAAGGGGGAAATCTGCTCTCCTAGCTACAGACAAGATGTGTGCTACTAATTATTGCTTATAGAGGCTTATGATGAAGTACAGTAGGATATTTGTCTAAAAGCCAATTCTCAGCCTAGAATTCAGTCAGCCAGGCCATGTAAATCTGTCTCAAAAAAGTAATATAAGCAATATTCAGAAAGAAGGGTCTTTTACTGAAGGGGGATAGAAGGGGAAAGAATCAGTCTGACCATTCTATCTCACATAAACTCTTCATTTGAGCTATAAAGAGATTTAATAGTTGATTGAACAGAAATATACTTCCAAAGGAAAAAAAAAAAGGGAAAAAAAAAAACCACCCCAAAACAATCCTGCTCATAAAAAAAACTAAGATGAATATATTGAAGTTATCCAAGATGCCCTAGAGTCTAGCGTTGTTGATTAGACACCTGTTCATTTTTGACCTCTTCTGTCTTGCGAGAACACGTCAGCAAAGTCTTCACATATTCATATTAACTCTAAATATTTGTAGCATTCTTTTTTCTTTCTTTTTTCTTTTTTTTTTTCTCCAAGTAACAATTTTCTCATCAAATTTCTCATTTTCAAATCACTACAAATTAAGACACAGGAATGCCTTATTGTACGAAGTATGCAAATACTGGACTATGAAGTAAAATAATGTTGTTTATTCTGTGATTTGATAATCTTTGTTCAAAGTACAAATAATGATAAAAACATACCTAAGGTATATTCAGTCCTGTGTGAGGTGCTCATGCTCCCGGTATTATACACAAGACATGACACTGGCTGAAGCACTATTATTAAAGAGAGATTAAAACAGCTGTACATTATGCTGAAACACTCACTCTTTCCTTTACAAACAGACGGTCCTGGATTACAGGCAGCACTTGACCATTTAAATCACTACAACCAGATTTAACCAGCTGGGCCATATTCTCTTAGGCAATGCCTGTTGACCTCCTCAGTCACAGCTGCCGAGTTGAAATTCTCATTAGAGAACTTATTTTCAGAAGCCAAAGGACTCTGATTAAATACATTTATTTAGACATGATAAAGTCTTTTCAGTATATATTTCATTTCCAATGTTATGAGGTACAATAAAGACCACAACTACTATACAGAAGCATGACACTTAATATCTGAAGGTATACCCAAAATATTTAAGTATTTCACATCAGCAACTTGTATTACTCAAATCTATAGATGGACTAGAAATTTACTATATAATAACACTGAAAAAGTCTTGCTGTACTTGCATGGGTATTAGAGCAGATGACTGGAATTCTTGGGTTCTTTATTCCACTTCTAACTCTACACTTAACTTGACATATGACTGTATGTTAGCCCAGTCCCCACAGATACATTGATGGTCATGGAGCTTCTTTGTATAAAATAACCTGTATTAGGCTCTTTAAAAGAGACTATAAAATGGTAAAACATTTGCATAATCTCAGACCTCATTTCTCCAACTGATTCTGCACTGTTGCAGTTGCAGTACCCACAGTCACAACAAAAATCAAAGCCTTAAAATAGTGATTATTTTTAAAATGTTATTTTAACCCAATCAAACCAGTCTGGAGAGTTCACTTCCTTTTAATTTAGAGAAACCTCTGAATACTGATATAGGTGTTCAAATCTGTCATAAGATTTTTGGTATTCCTAGTCTATACGTAAGTTTAAAACCACTGAAGTTCCTAAGTGTAACATCTTTAAGAATTTGCAATCTTTCTATTAATGATTTTTCTGTGCTGGTTTATATGATACCAGTCAGATGTTCACTAATTAGATTCTGTAAATGGAAGTGACCTTTCTTCCTACAGAAAATACTGGATGAATTGAAAAGAACTTAACATGAAGCTACAGTCAATTACCTTTGAACTTACAGGTAGACTTTAGAATACTTTTCTACTATAATACAGCCCATAAAAGGCAAGATTATTTTATAGATCAGAAATTACCTCTATTACACACCTGGTGAGAACACATAGCATGGAAGGCTCAGATGCAGTGAGAGGGATCTCTCTGCTGGGCACATACCTCTCTTAAATCAGACAGTGTATACTAATACAGAGGAAGTGAAGAAAATACTGAGAATTCATACGAAAATAATCTATGAAACACCTGAATGCTTGCAATAAGACACAATGTTTAAACTTTCTGATGCACATTTCTATTAGCACACCATTCAGTATACTCCTGGAGAAGTCTTAGCTGTCGTGTCACTATAATCACAGAATCATAGAATCATAGAATCGTTAGGGTTGGAAAGGACCTTAAGATCATCTAGTTCCAACCCCCCTGCCGTGGGCAGGGACACCTTACGCTAAATCATATCCCCCAAGGCCTCGTCCAACCTGGCCTTGAACACTGCCAGGGTTGGAGCATTCAAAACCTCCCTGGACAACCTATTCCAGTGCCTAACAGGAAAGAATTTCCTTCTTATATCCAACCTAAACTTCCCCTGTTTAAGTTTTACCCGCAGCAAAGTATGAGCCAAGACCTTTGATTAGCATGGAGTGTCAAACGACTGTTACTGACTGTAAAAATCAGCTTTGCCAAAGTAACATTTAAAATAGTTTTCCTAGTCTAACCACCAAATCTAAGAAAGCAATCTTTAAAAGAGTGATCTTTACAGCTGAAAACAGACAGATGGTAGTAAAGAAACTGGGACATTCTCTCTTTAGAGATGTTTCACCAGCTTCAGAAAGGACACCTATAGAACACATTTATCTATGTGCTGGCATTTAACAATTACGCCAAGAAATCTGAAAGCCTGCTTCCATCCCTACATGATTTTATCACATAGTTAAGAATATTATTGTATCAGCATCAATTTTAGTTGAAATGCATCCCTCGGCTACATTGCTACACGGAGCCAAGGGATCCTAAAGTGCACCGCTTGAAGTGGACTGTTACTGTACCATGAAATTGAGGAGGTAAAATCATTCTGCACTCATTCATATTTCAAAGAAAGAAGTGATCACAAAGCTCTACTGTGTTATGGTTCTACTATGTTACAAATATACTTCCGGGGTTATTTTTAATGCCACAAAATGACACTGGTAAAATAACTAAGAGAATCCACACAGATGCTTCCACACGTGTTTATATATTTCAGAGCCTCCTGCTTTCACATCTTCCCTGGTACAAACTCATGTATGAGCTCACAGACTAGAAGGTGTTGCTTCAAAAGCAACAAGACTTCATTCTACTTGACATGGGGAGAGATTTTTATGGTGGACCTTAACCTTGTGCACATATATACTGATAAACTTGTTCTGCAACTCTGTTTAGTTCCTATCAAGACTAAAATCTTAACAAAGTTGATGAAAATATCTGAATAAGGACTGAAAACATAAATTGCCTTAGAGCTCAAAGATTTGTCCTCATTTTTATCTCTTTTAACATATGTAGGTCAGAACTAGGTACTTTTTACAATGAAAGTGTTTCCCATTGTCCTAGCCACAGATGTTGGGTCATTAAGGTGATGAAAGATGAGAATTTCTAAGGCAAAACTAACCAGCTCGTGTTATATTCATTCCTATTGTTTAAAATAAACATTCATCTTTTGAAAGAACAAACAGCACTGAAGAATATATCTCACAATTTTACAACCAGTTAAGAGTTCATCATAACCTTTCAAGAGTTTAGTTTTCACCTAAACCAACATTATTGCTTTGACTTGCACACAACCAACACGATTTAAAAAACTGGCATATTTGTCTAAAATCCCTAATGGACCTCAAACTACTACTGCCATGGTAACCTGTGAATAACTTTATCCTAGCCTTTGCCAATTATGCAATTTTCTGGCTCATGATACCAAACACATTATTTATGCCACAAAAATTGTAGGGTTTGGGGGTGAGCAAACTGTATTGGCCTTATCCAGCACATACCTTCTTGCTCAGTCCTGGTCATTTCTTCTAGTTTCTTCTGCTTCAGTGTGTCCACCACATCTGCAAGGCTTCCTTTGCGGCGTTCTGGCGTTCCAAAATTAACACTGGTCATTAGCTCACTGCGGTCACGACCTCCGTCATCGGGCTTGTTTGGTGAGGTAGAGGTATTTCGGAAGGAATATAGGGAACATAACTTATTACTCTCTGATTCCTGCAAAGAAAAAATACAATATGAAAACACAGGCTATCTCTTATGCCAGAAGGATATAAAACAGGTAAGAGTTAAGAACATTATTTATTAGTTTGTCATACTAATGAGCCTACATATACCCTCCAAGAAAAAAAAGGGGGGAAAGGGGGCAGTTGTTTACGGTATGTCTAGAAATGCCATAAACCAGATTTCCTTTAAAATTAAACATTAAGAATAATAGTGGCAATATATTTCAGAAGAGATGAATTAACAGTTCTATCAAAACTGACTCTCCAAATTAATAGCATTCCTCACAAACAATAACATTCCTACTACTCTGTGAGCTGAATATACCCATTTGTAGAGTACTGAAGAAACTTGTGCTGAGAAATGTCCCAAGTGAAACAAGATCTGAAGAAAGGTAGGCTAGAAAACATTAACTATCAGCGACAACATCAGACACATATCTTTGCTTCGCTCTTGAACAGATTAGCTGTGCAATATAACAGAAGGAGCAACACTAACAATGAGCAAGTGTGGTAACTAAGGGCTGTTGACTACATAGAAGGTGGTAGCATCAAATCATCATCAAGCACAGTAGCTTGATCAGCACAGCACAACAATATTACTACCCTTGGAGAAGGAGGCAGAATTTGCTAGTGATGTTGAAAATGTATTTATTCACTAAGACAGGAAACTCGAAGACACTATTGCATCCCAGCACTGGCAGCACCCTTATCAACACATTAGAAGTGACAGAGGTTTTGTAAGCACAAACAGAAAGAGAGGTGACACGGAACAAAACCCTTACCTTCATTTTTTCATCTATCAAACATTGTAGAATTTTTCATTCTAATCATTTGTATCCATTAAAGAATCAAAAATCACAAAGGACAACAATATCTTCTAATCTATCTACTAAAAGCATCTTCTATTATTTTTCAAATTTTAAACTTGAATTTCTATAATATGTTTCCTCAATGAATAATTAATACTATAAAACATGGCATTTCCTCCTTTGAAGAATACAGTACAAGAGTAACAGAAATTTTAAAGGAGTTCTCAAGAAAACAATGTCCTCTTACAGTACATGAATCATACCCATCAGACTCAATGCAGGAGTTTTTTCATGCTCTTAGGAAGGAACACTCCATCTATTGTTTAGGCTGGAAACAAGAAGATAAGGCTAATTTTTTGAGCAAGTAGAAATGACTGAATGTTCTTCCTCCTGATAACCTATCCTCTCACTTGTCTGGATGTATACATGGTCCAGCTCAACATTCCTTTACAGCTTAGACTCTCCAAGTCCTGCCTCCATTAGGCAGTATATCCACACTTACGTTTTAGAAGACTTTTTCTTTTCAAAAAACTGCAATGTCTGTAATTAAGATAAGACAAGTTTAAACTCCATGCAAATGATGTGCATTTATGAAAGGGAGGCAGAATGACAGCTTTTGCAAGAATGAGACTCTGTCCAAATAATGGAGTATTTTATGTTGTCAGTTTTGTGGGTAACTAAAACATGGAATAAAAATAAAAGAATAAAAGGCATCTCTAATATTTTTGTTCTGTTTGGCCCTACAGCTATAGTATTGGGGTCACTAAGCAGCTAATATATTTGCAGTGTATGATCTGAATTGTCATTCTGAGAAACCCAGCAAGGATAACTTTCTGAGCCCCATCTTTTTCTGAAATCAGAAATATTTAAGAAGAGTGGCTGAGGATTCAGAAGGAGAACTGCACAAACTGAAAGGCATTCAAGGGATAAAATGGGCAAATGGAAAAACTGCAGACCAGTCCAGTGTAAATACCTTATCTAATAATAGCAGAACTCAGCTAGAAAAATCTTCATAAGCTGCATGTACAATTATCTACAAGAAACAAAACCAATTCCCATGCATTCTATGATTCTAGATAAATTTGTGAATAATCTGCAAATAAAAATGTAGCTGAAATGAAACACTGAAAAGGCTACAGAAGGAATTGTATAGCTATGTATTCAGAATAGGTATTTCTACTCCTGTGTGTCTACCGTTGGCAGCTTTCTTTTTTATTCCAACCATATGAACTGGTTATATTGACCTCACATAGATAATGGAGTGTTGTCTCAGAGAAGAGGTATATCATCTTCACAAGATGTTTGCTGGTCCCCTTGCTTGAATGCATACAGTATGTTCACTAGAAAATCTGGAATCCAGAATGGAAAAGTACCACCATGCTTTACCATAGAACAAAAAAAAAAAAAAATAAAAAATTCATGGTCAGAAAAGAAGAACCTGGTTCTTTTTCAGTAATGAAATAGATCCTATCCTTGAGAAGTCTTATGATGCTACCTTTCACAGAACAAGGAAGCTCCAGTACATTTGATTTGAGAATAGGAAAGAAAGGATGCTATTAAAGGTATTTTTCATGCTATTTCAAAAAACTAAAACCATGGAAAAAGAGGTAAAGACAAGTAAAGTGCCTAGCCAAGATCAACAAAAATGTTTTCATTTTGCAAACTCCAGCTGTGCAATCCACCAGCACTAATGACAATCCTTCACACAAGTCAACTTTTGTCAGCATTACTTTCTCTGATAATAAGAAAATGGGCAAGAAAATATGACTGATATTAATGTCCACTTAACATATTTGTACACAATCTGATGTCTAAATTCATCCAGTAGGTACAGAATACACTAGACAACTGACACATTCCTGAATTTTCATGTTTAAAATTCATGCATTTCTTCTGTAAGATGGCATTTTAAGTCTAAACCTGAAATAATATCTTCAACACATGATAGTTCCTTTGAGAGGTACATTTTTAAAGATGTGCTAATCTTACTGATTTCAATGATTTCCATATAAGGCAGGAAAAAAAGGAAGTATCTCATAATAAGGTAAATAGCAAGCAATCAGTCTATGGACAAAAGCTTTAACACAAAGCATACTTCTTCATCCAACACAGGTGAAATTCAGTCACAGTAAACCCTACACATTTTTAATCTTAACTACATAAGGATTAATTCAATAGTAAAAAAATAGAAGATATTAGAAATCGACATATTAATAAGGTGTCAGTATCAAAATACTATGTCCACCGGAAGCATATTTTACTTGTGTCTTAGGTATAAGTATAGCTTACTACAGATACCATTGCATAGTGGGTTTCTTCTCAGTTTGATCCAAAGTGCCATCTGGCACAGATTGCTCAGGATCCCACCATACCTTTGCTAGACTTACAAGTGTATTCTCCCACTCAAATGCTAATACTGGATAACTGTAGAACTGTTTATGCCTATACCAGAATATACAAGGATATTGAACAAGGATTTTTCCCCACCACAATGGTGGCATTTCCAGACTATCCCTGAGTAACTGGCAAACGATAAAATTTGAATACAGCTTATTGCACAAAATTAGGCATAAATCTGACTGCTTAAAAGGAACAACATGTATGATTATTTTACATCTTAAGCTTTCCTCTTTGCCTTATCTTTGTGTCAGATACAAAAATGGTTTAAATTGAAGAGGTATTTATTTGAAGATATGACTAAACCAGAAAATCTTACTGCCCAGCACCGAAAGGCAGAAACTCAGTATTGACCACTATTCCAGCTGCTTATTATTAAGCAGCCTATCTTTGAAACATTGGGGTTTCATACCAAGGCAAATAAAGGGCATTTTTCATGCATATATTTCCTTCTCAGTCCATTAGCATAGACAAAATTGTATTACAGATCATTCAACTGACAACGCTTAGAGTTTTGACTAAGTGTCCCTATTATACCAGACTTAATACCTATATATAGCCATTAAAATTCAAGGATTAGACTACAAAGTGGACAAAATGGAGAAAAATAAATAAGTGCACAAAGACGGACTGCTAATGTCCAAAATTAGCAAGGCATGAATAGTAACATACTATGCATGGTTCACCCAGGGACAGGTAGCCCATGCAGGAAATCATGCATGAAATTTACTTACCCCTAAAACCTGTACCTAACCCCCTATTCATCTGCCAATGAGAAAACATTAAGATTTCCAGTGCAATATCATAAAAGCTTTCCTAGGTCTATCCTTGCCCCTCTTAATTTTACAGGGACAGTGAACTTCTTTAATCAATTCCAAGTTTGCTTTGAATATATGTGGTCCAACAACAGTGTCCTTAGTCTCATTAGCTTTCTAGGCTGCTTGGTCTCAACAAGTGGCCCATGGCCACTCCTTTTAGAGTGGCTGTGAATGGCTCAATATAGTTTTGGTAGTGGCAGAAACAAGTCTGAATAATTACATATAATGGCTTTGTAAAAATAAACACAGAGACTCTTTGTGACTACATACATGGTATTTTCTTCTCACTCCATAACAATTACTTTAAAAATCTATATTAAAATATCCTGGATAAATATTTCAGCATGCCTCTCACCCTAAGAAAATATCTTTTAGCATATACGTTCACTAAATTTCACAAGTTGCATTGGTAAAATTCTTCAAAAAGAAAGCTGCCTAGTTTCCAAAGGAAGGAAAATCCTTATACTTCCTCAGATGTTTTTGTTGAAAAGGATTGAACAAACAATCATAATTTTCTTGTTAGTGTGAAAAAAATTATTTTCTTGTGCATTTAGATTCTTTACTCTTCAAGTAGTTCATTTTCACATCCATGGTCCCACTGGTTTTAACAAGATAAATGAGAGAGAATGGCTGCAAGCGAAGTAAGAGTATTGAAAGGTGACCTAGCATTTTTCATACTGGAAAGCTAAAGCTTATATCAACATCTGTAAAATCGAGTAAACACACAAAAAATATGGTTTTACTGGTGGAAGTGTAAGCTAAAAATAAGATTCAACATTCTTGGCTTCTTGTTCTGAATGGACAAAGTACAAAATATGCGGGCTAAATTTGGGGGCTGAGAAGTAACATCTTAGTTCGGGGACTCTACAGTCGTGACTGGAGACCTGGCTTGGGACAGCTCTCTCTTTGGGATCCTCATAAGGGTTAAGGAGACATCAACAGTTTCATGAATTGGATTCTGTAAATAG